AGTGCGGGCACGACAGTGCATGCCACTGCTCACTCGATCACAGACCAAGGCCATGGACCGGAAGGCGGGAGAATCCCTCCTGGCCTACGAGGAACACCTGGCGGCATTCGTCCAAGAGGCCAACGATAGGGCCGCCGCCGCGGCCAAGGAACGTAGTCAGATTGAGCAAGAAGAGGAGGCCAAGCGACGGAAGGAGGAACAGGACCGACTTCGTCAAGAGGAGGCAGACCTGCAGGCGGCAGCTGAACACCGGTCACGCCAGCAGGAACGACTGTTCACGCGGGAGACCGTGATCGGCGATGAGACTGCACATTGGGTGGCGATGGCATCTGCAGACGAGGCCCCGGAGATTGAGAAAGGGCTGTCAGCCCTTGCACAGGTCTCCCACGACCTCGTGGCCACCTGCGCTCTGCAGCAGGAGGAAATCCTTCACCTGCAGCAGACAGTGGACCAGATGCTTACACGGCTACAGGCGTTGGAGAAACAGCCAGCTGCTGTAGCAGCCGCAGGGCCTTCCAACCTTACCACCCGCGTTCAAGTCTTGGAGGATGACGTCAGCAACATTAAGCGTGTGCATCAGGATTTCCGGACGTCGCAGCAGGCAACGAACTTGCAGTTGGAGACGCAGGTCCAGGCTGCTGCCACCGTGACGCCCACGGCCGCATCCTCCCGGCGCCCACCCAAACTGGATAACATTCTGGTTTTCTGCGATCATTCCAAGACGGAACCGATCCCGTGGTGGCGCGAGTTTACTCTCAGGCTCGACATGCACCATGTCCCGAACAACGATCGACCTCCGTGCTTGTACCACCGATCTGGTGGTGCATGTCAAGCATGGCTGGACAACATCTTGACCAGCCACGGCGTAGCAGTGTCGGAACTGCACACCAAGCTCACTTGGCAGGAGTTGACTGACGCCTGGCACAAGCGATTCCAAGTGGAGCCGCCCGACCTGCAAGCGATGGACAAGCTCAACAAGCTCCATCAGAACACGCTGCTCAGTCAGGACTGGATTACCGAGTTCCAAAGACTCGCCTCCACACCTGACCTGCCGCTCGCATTCCGCGCCATCAAGCACTTGTTTATCATGCGCTCGTGTCCAGCTCTGCAAAACGCGTTGACGCAGATTGCAGATACACTCGACACATCTGACAAGCTTTTCAGCACAACGTTACGGATCATTCTCACGAATATAGAAGCCTGCAACGCCGGCCGATCTTCCGCGACGACGAGCAACACCCAGCCCAAGCCAAAGGTGGCTTGCATTACTTCTACCGAGGCTGCAACACCAAACGAGGGTGAAGTGTTGGCAGCTGCCCGGGACGGTGGTCGGCTGCGCAACAATCACGGCCGCGACAAGACGAAGAATCAGTCCACCTCTACACCGAGCACCGAATCAGCGGCCGACGAACCTTGGGCACAATACGAACTCTCAGCGAATTGCTATCGCACGAGACTCAAGTACCGTTACTGCCTTTGGTGCAATAGCACCATCCACGATGCTGCACATTGCCCCACCAAGGGGAAACCCCGTTCAGGAAAGTAGGCGCCGCCGAGGGTGACTCGACACCTCCCTCGACGCCATCGAAAGCGGTTGTGCGCACGACCGCCCTTTCTTCCGAGGCATATGCGGATGTCGGGAGTCTTCCACTTTCGTTCGAAGACTTCGCTGCCCGGCTCGTTCCTTCACTGGATGCTTCCCAACGACAAGATACACGTGTGGCTTTCTCACCGTCCGAAGGTTCTTTCGCCACTTCGTCTTCATCAAGGGATTCGGCAAGCGTGTTCAACGAGGAGGTCTTGGACTTGCTCATGCCCGAGGACTTCGCTTGGATTCCTCTCCCTACGATGGGCAACCTTCTGGGGCCGCAAAGCGCAGCACTATGCACCCTCTTACACGAGTATCTTTCCTTCCATGCACCACCAACTTCGCCGACGGTAGACGAAGTCGCGGTGGGGGACATGCTTGGCTATGTTGCCAAGGTGGCCCGCGAGTTTGTCTCGCAACGGTGCGAAGAAAACAACGCACCGTTGCTGTTCGCATTCAGATTGGGCAAGCGGCCTGCAACACTTTGCTAGATTGCGGCGCAACTCGCAACTTCATCAGCCAGTCCTTCATGACTCGGGCTGGCCTTGGTGCACAAGTACGGAGGAAGTCACATCCGACGACGGTCGCTCTTGCCGACGGTAAGACGAAATAGCTTTTAGACCGTCACATCTCGACTGTCCCTGTGTACTTTGCACCGCACGCATGTGAACCCGTCACTTTTGACGTGTTGGACACCGACTTCGACGTCATTTTGGGGATACCTTGGCTTTCTAGCGCGGACCACACGGTCAATTTCCATCGATGCACGCTCACAATTCGTGATGCAACTGGCGCCGAGGTCCCGTGTACTATTCCTCCTCCTCGCTCTTCCATTCGGTGCCAAGTCGTGAGTGCCAAATCTTTTCGAGACACATGCCGTTCCGAGCATGTCGAAGAGATTGGCATCGCTTTTCTTCGAACCGTCCCGACGACCGACTCATCGTCCACGGATGTGTCTTCCGACCCCCGTGTAACCCGGTTGTTAGACGAGTTCTCGGATGTTTTTGAGACACCCTCTGGTATAGTGCCGGACCAGCCGATCTCCCACGAGATCATACTCGAGGCCGGCACCGTGCCACCAAAGGGATGCATTTATCGCATGTCCGAGGAGGAGCTCACGGTTCTCCGTGCGAAACTCGACGATCTACTTGACAAGGGATGGATCCTCCCTAGCAGCTTACCTTACAGTGCGCCCGTTCTCTTCGTTCGGAAGAAGAACAAGGACCTTCGACTTTGCATTGACTACTGACGCCTCAACGCGCAAACCATCAAGAACGCGGGGCCTCTACCTCGCATCGATGATTTGCTTGAGCGGTTGGGCGGCGCCAAGTACTTTTCGAAGTTGGACCTCAAGTCAGGCTACCATCAGATTTCCATCCGCCCGCAAGATCGGTACAAAACCGCATTTAAGACGCGATATGGGCATTTTGAGTGGGTAGTTATGCCTTTTCGCCTCACCAATGCCCCGGCCACCTTTCAGGCGGCCATGACCACCGAGTTTCGCGCTATGTTGGACCGCTTCGTCTTGGTCTACTTTGACGACATCCTCGTCTATAGCCGAACTCTAGAGGAGCATCTCGAGCACCTTCGCCGTGTTCTAGAGACTTTTCGGTCAGCCCGGTACAAAGCTAACCGCGACAAATGCGAGTTTGTCCGGCAAGAGCTTGAATACTTGGGTCATTTTGTCTCTCCGGAAGGCATTCGTCCGTTGGCGGACAAGATTCAAGCCATCCAGAAGTGGCCCGAGCCGAAGAATGTGACGGACGTCCGATCCTTCCTCGGCTTGGCCGATTATTATCAGCGCTTCATCAAGGGTTACTCGAATATCGCGGCCAACCTAAGCAAGTTACAAAGCGAGGAGCGGCCTTTTGACTTCGACGACGACGCGCGCCATTCTTTTGAAACACTCAAAGCGGCACTCTTGTCCGCCGAGGTGTTACATATTTACGACCCGCTTCTAGCTACGCGCGTCACTACCGATGCGTCGGGCTATGGCATTGGGGCCGTCCTTGAGCAGCACGATGGCACGGACTGGCACCCGGTCGAGTACTTTAGCAAGAAAGTACCTCATGTGCATTCAATCGACAACGCACGGAAGAAGGAGCTTCTTGCCTTCGTCCACGCCCTCAAACGTTGGCGACATTTCCTCCTTGGTCRGAAAGCATTCCGATGGGTAACGGATAACAATCCGTTGGTATTCTACAAGTTGCAAGACACGATTAACAGTACCATTGCCTGTTGGATGGCTTTCATCGACCAGTTTGACTTTTTCCCCGATCACATTCCCGGGAAGTCAAACCGTTTTGCGGACGCCCTCTTACGGCGATCGGATCTTTGCACCGCAATCTACTCTACCTTCGAGATCGACGACGACTTGCGGGAGAGCTTCATCCACGGCTATCAAGCCGACCCTCACTTTTGCGACAAGTACGCGAATTCCTCCTCTCCGAACCCGGTGCCTTCACATTATCGGATCCAAGAGGGCTACTTACTTGTGCATTCGCGGGGTAAGGATCTTCTTTGTGTGCCGAGTGATTCACACTTGCGCACACGACTTCTTGGCGAGTTTCACGATGCGCCCGCCTCCGGACATTTGGTTTCAACCGTACACTTGGCCGACTTCGCCAGCGGTTCTATTGGCCCGACCTTCTCAAGGACGCCACCCGCTATTGTGAGTCGTGCGAGTCTGTCGGCGTTGCAAGTCACGCAACCATCGTCCGTTCGGCGAGCTACACCCACTACCAGTTCCCCTTGGGCGACGGAAAGCGATCGCTATGGATATCACCGGCCCTTTCCCGAAGCACAAGACCGGCGTTGATGGGATCCTCACGGTCGTCAACCGCCTCACCAAGTACGCCATGTTTTTGCCTTGTCGCTATCACGCAAAGGCACCGGAGTTAGCCGAGGTCTTATACACCGGTTGGATTCGCTTAAAGGGCTGCCCCAAGGAGATCGTTTGCGACCGGGACACTCACTTTCTCTCCGACTTTTGGGTTTGCCCTCGTCAAGCGATGGGGCTCATCTTTGAAGCCGAGTTCGGCTCGCCACCCGCAAACCGATGGTCAAACGGAAAGGGCGCATCAGACCGCTCAAGTCCTTCTACGCACTCTCATCCGTCCCGACCAGGTTGATTGGGTTGAGTGCTTGCCAGACGTTGAGTTGGCTTACAACTCATCGATCCATCCGGCTATCGGGATGTCGCCATTCGAGTTTGAGCATGGTTCACCCATCTCATCGCCGCTGGACGCCACTTTGTTGCGCACAGCCGAGAGCGACGACCATCTTGCGTTCCTTCGTCGCATGCAAGAGCTTCTTGTCAAGGCACGGTATCAGATGTCAAAGACGCAAATACGGATGAGCCGTCAAGCCAACCGCAATCGCCTTCCTTGCCCGTTCCGCGTCGGCGATCTGGTTTGGGTCTCCGCTGCAGAGTTCAGCCTTGAGCAAGACATCTCTCGCAAGCTCCTTCCCAAGCGGATGGGGCCTTGGCGCATTCTCTCTGCAGTTGGTGATGATCCTGAGGGGCCTTCATTCCGCATCACGGTGCCACCTTCCACTGTTCCAAACTCGCTCCTTTTGTTTCAGCGGAGTCCGACGAGTTTCCCAGTCGACGTACGCAGGACCCTCCTTCCATGGACGGATTTCAGGAGGCCGGCTACATCATCACCGACCGGCGCCATGGCAACAAAGAAACAGAGTTTCTACTTCACTTTTCCTACTGCAGCCACAAGGCTGACCGTTGGCTGACGCGTTCGGAACTGCAGGCCACAGCCCCCGCCGTTCTCTCACACTTCCTTAGCAAAGGGAAGACTACGCCGAGCACTCCAGCTCCTCGCCATCCTCGCTACATTCCACCATCGGATCGCCAGCTTCGCCCGCGCCCCGGCTCGTCTTCATAAGGAGGGGGGCGTGTTACATGCTGAAAGCCTACACACGGGCCCCTCACGGGACCCGAGGTTGGAATAGGGCCCCCAGGTCGCGTCACCGCAACCTAAAGGCCCTATGGCATTTTTACTTGGGCCTGCATCAGAAAAACGCCAGCTTTAGATTATTTTTATATTCTTTTATTTATTTATTTGTTGCTGTTTTTCTAATGGGTGTACTGTTGTCCGTTTTGTGGCCAGGTACACGTTTTAGGACCAGGGCCAGATTCAGGCCCAGAGGCTGAGCTCCGAAAAACGTTTGGACCTTTTCTTTTGTTTTCAAACAGATTTTGACCTGTTCGGACCCAGGCCGACGTTGAGGCCGGGTACGTCCGCACAAGACCGGTGTGAAGCCAGGTACCAGGAAATTGAATCCTGGACAGGGCCTGGACGTCCGGTAGGGACCCAGGCAGGCCGTTTTAGGCCAAGGACTGAACCAGTTTTCGAAGCCTACGATATGGACCGTGGATCGGAGTTTCGATCTGCACAGTCCAGAACGCAGGCCGTGGTCTCACTGGGTCCGGCCCAACACTACTTAAGCTGGCCCAATGCCTAGTTGTGGACAGAAGGTATCAGGGGAAATCCAGCGTTACGCTGGTTCAGGACTTCACTTGCTGCGCTATGAGGAGACTACAGGTTGCGCTATTTTGGGACTGCAGCTGCGCTATTCATCGGCGATGAGGCACAACGCTGGAGGAGTCCAGCGCCGAGGAGAGTAGTGGAGTTCGTGAGAGAGAGAGAGAGAGAGAGAGAGAGAGAGAGAGAGAGAGAGAGAGAGAGAGAGAGAGAGAGAGAGAGAGAGAGAGAGAAGAGGACTTACCTGTACCAGCGCCATAGCTGGCTCCGCGGTATCTGCAGTTCAGCCATCGCAAGGTAAGTGCAGAAAGCGCCTAGCTTTCTTCCTCTTCTTCTTCTTCTTCATCATCTTCTTCTTCTCCTCTCCTCTTCTCCTCCTCCTCCTCCGAAGTTCTTCTTCCTCTTCTTCTTCTTCTTCTTCTTCTTCTTCTTCAGAGTAGAGATAGAGGTAACGGCAAACATTGTTTGGACACGACATTCTGCCTTATTGGACACGACATTCAGATCGGACTTGCACTCTTCATTGGGATCGAACTGTGTACGACATTCGGAGATCAGACTTGGGTTGGACTTGGTTACCTCCTATGTCCCTCCCCCTTCTCTCTCGCATGTCTATGGATCTCTCCCCATGTGTGTGAGCGGAAGGGCAATCTTTCTGATGTCTTGCCCTTCCGAAGTTTCTCCCTTTCATGTTGTTGGTCCACGTGTCCTTTTGATTACTAAATCTTCCGTTGTGCTGCTTCCCAGCCCATGATGATAATTATACGAATGTGTTGTTGTTGAGTTCTCATTGGTTCACTCTTTGCATCGTCCATATTGACATCTTGTGAATGTTGCACCTATGCTGCTGGTTGTTGCCACTTTCGTCATTGCTAGATCCTAGGCTCTCAGTGTATTTCACTTCCTGATATGCTATACCTGGCGAGATACCCTTTCACGTTGCTTTACTTTTACAAGGCCTGAGGCCTTCATTAGGTAAAGGACCTTTTACTCTCGCCGGCCTAGTTTCGAAGTCCTCTGAGAATCATTTACCTATTAAGGATATGAATCCCTCTTTTTGCGCTTTCATATGCAGACACAATATGAGGTGCAGAGTCCAATAACTCTTCTCGTGTGAACCAGCGATCTTCACTAGGATCCTGGTATGGAAACCTCACCTTATATTGTCGTTGTGGTCTGCCTCTACGTCCAGTGTGGTAAGTACTTTCTGCAACAATTTTATCCACGTCATACTTCCCATCCATACTTGGAGGTATCGCTGATTGGCGACTTGGGAAGAGCTCATTTGTTACACAAGGTAAAAGCTTGGACGCATGGAACACTGGATATGTACATAGATGAGGAGGAATCTCAATGACATACGAAGGACCATCCACATCTCCAATTACATCTAAAACTTGCCAAGGTCCTCTGTAGGCGGGTAAAAACTTCTGAGAGATGTTTTCTTCAGGAGCAAACTCTTTAGATTGCACCCAAACCAAATCTCCTACAACAAATTGAGATGGTCGTCTGTGCTTATTTGCCTGTTCAATCATTTGATGTTGTGCTTTAAGTATGTTTTGCTTTACCTTCTCAATGTCTTTCTGATACTGGACTGCAAATTCACTAGTCCCTATAGGAAGCTTATGTACTTGATCCGGGTTCAATCGATCAATGGGTCTGCGTGGACGCTATCCCAGATGTAACTCCATAGGAGTCTTACACGTAGATAAGTGTACAGAGTTATTGTAGGCACTAGCAACCTTAGGAAGATGCTCATCCCAGTCAATTTGATCGGGACGAATGTACATGCGTAACGTCTATTGCAATATCTTGTTCATCTGCTCAGTTTGACCATTAGTCTCAGGATGTTTACATGATGACATAGTCAACTTAGAGCCATATACATTCATCAGTTGTTGCCATTGTTCACCGGTGAACCTGGTATCTCGGTCACTTACAATAGTTAAGGGATGCCCAAAGTCTTTTACCCAATGGTTAAAGAACTCTCGAATTACCAAATCAGTCTTTGCTTCTGAAGGCAAAGCTACAAAAACAGCATACTTAGTGAATCTATCCACTATGACCATTACTTGTGTTTTCCCATTTCTGCTTTTCACCTTAGTATCCATGAAATCTATAGAGATAGAGTCTCCAAGGCATGTAGGAATAGGCAATGGTTTAAGTAGCCCAAGGGGCGATTGCGTGGTGCTTTTGTTTCGTTGCTATACTTGACAACCTTGCATATACGCGATACAGTCTGTCTTCATTCGAGGCCAGGTGTAGGAACGCAACAAAGTTCCATAGGTCTTTTTCCACCCAAAATGGCCTTCTGTATCATGGCATTCCCCCAAGATCATACTCTTGATCTCTTCATTATTTGGTATACACAGCCTATCATTTACATCAGTTCATTCGAACAATAGACCCTTAGTAATTTTATGATCAGGAAACGCTGCTGGTTTTTCTTGCATTCACTTAATCATGGTCCCATACATAGAGTCAGAGGAATACGCCTTCCTAATCTTCTCTTGTAGGTCAGCACCCACATCTAAATAAGTCAAAAGAGCACCGAAAAAGTCTGATCTACGACTTAGTGCATCAGCAACAACGTTATACTTACCCTTTACTGACTTTAGTTCAAAATCAAACATATCAATCTCCGCAGCCCATCTTATCAACTTAGGTATCATTCGAGCCTGCGTTTTGAGCCAGCGAAGTGTCTCATGGTCAGAGTATACCTTAAAATGTCTTCCCAAAAGATAGTGTCGCCAATGGTTGAGAGCCTCACGAAGAGCATATAACTCTCTTTCATATGTCGAAGCGACCACTTTCTCATTAGGCAATCGGCAAGACATAAACTCTACAGGTCTGTATCCATGCCCATCCTCTTGCTGGAGTACAACACCTATACCATATTGGCTGGCGTCGGTCGTGACTACGAAAGGTAATGAAGGGTCTGCCACTTTCAAAACCGGGTAATTGATCAAACACTTCTTCAGACGCTTGAAAGACATCGTGCAATCCGAATCCCACTTCCAAATTACTTCTTTCTTAAGTAACCTGCGAAGGGGAGCAGTTATTATCTATAAGTGTTTTACAAACTTACGATAGTAGTTGGCTAACCCAAGGAACGACCGCAACTCAGTCAAGGTGCGGGGGTTCGACCAATCTCTGATGACTGCTATTTTGGCATCCTCCAGTTTGACCCCATCTCCATCAATCACATGTCCTAGGTATAGAACCTGACGCTTAGCCCATTCGCACTTCTTTGGGTTTAATTTGAGTTTTGCTTCTCTTAGCTTATTTAGCACAAGTCGAAGGTGCTCAACATGCTCTTTTTCATCTTTGCTGAAAATCAAAATATCGTCTAGATAGATAACAACAAATTTGTCAAGCCATTCACGAAAGAGTTCGTTCATCGTTCTTTGGAATGTGGCAGGGGCATTCGTGAGACCAAAGGGCAAAACTATAAATTCATAATGCCCATACCTTGAACTGAAGGCAGTCTTATGTTGGTCTTCCGGCTCAACCTCAATCTGATGGTAGCCGAATTTCAAATCAATCTGTGAAAATATTTTGCTACCCTGCACGCGATCCAACAAATCATCTATTCGCGGTAATGGTTCGGCATTCTTTACTGTTATATCATTTAATCGCCTATAGTCTATACACATGCGAACGCCGCCATCCTTCTTAGATACAAAGAGCACAGGCGCACCATAGGGCGAGAAGCTAGGTCTTATCCATCCATTTTTCAACAACTCATCGAGTTGGGTTCGCAGTTCATCTAATTCCTGGGGCGACATACGATAGATAGGCCCCTTTGGGGGCGCGCTCCCTGGACTGATATCAATGTGGTGTCCGATTGGTCTTTCTACCACACCACTTGGGGCTTCCGCCACATCTGCGAACTCGTTCAGGATCCTCTCAATCTCTTGAGACCGGACTTCTTCCTTAGTTTCTCCTTCCTTTACTGGGCGAACATATGCAACAAAGACTTGGTCATACAAGTTGTGTTTCTTTACGTGGCGAGCGAACGCTAGGGCACTTATGCAACAGTGAGTTAGGTTGCTTTCCTTTCCAGACTCATGATAGAGGCGAATTTTCTTTTTACCTCCTTGCGGACTTGGGAACCAACATTCATGCTCTCTCAATTTTAGATCCGCATGCGCAACCTCACCCCAATCCATTCATAGCAACACATCAAAGAGTAAGTTATCCTCCACCAAGAAGGTCAGAGAGTGGAGAACACGTTCCACCTTCCCCTCTGCCTCTAGCCGGAAGTATACCTGAACCCCCTCGACGTATCGATCCATAATGGTTTCACTACTATTAGCTAACTTACTTACAATGGGCTCATCTAACCTTTTAACCTTAAGCCCAAGACGTAGTTTTTGCAAACCTTTCTTACTAATATAACTGCGTGTAGACCCACTATCTATCATACCTCCTACTCTTACTCGATTTATTTCAAGATCTGCAATTATTAACTGTCCTTTCTTTTTTCGCATT